AAGGGACGGTACGGGTGCAACGGTAGAGTGCTACGGGCGTTAAGGGTAGGAACGGGATCCGACAGGATCCTAACCTAGGTGATACCATGTTAGAAACTGAAATGATGATTGACGATTGTGGGGGGTACATAAACCTAACCCTAACTGCTGTACCCCATATGACACGCATCACTAAAGGCTACAACATTTGACAATAAGATCACTCATACGGCACACGAGGTGGCAATGAGATCACTCATATGGCACACTAGGTGGCAATAAGATCACTCATACGCAGGCCCTCAGATACCTGATTCTCACTTACATGGATACCTTCAACGTGATTACAACAGGAACGTATTATGCAGCCTACGATGATCGAACATCAGCCCTTAACCCTTCGACAACGGTTTCACTAACAACTAAGACACTCCAAGCCAGAGCCTCAGATTCGTTTGAGGGTACCCTGAGGCCTCAGGGCAGTTGAGCAGGAAGCGCTGTTTTGTCCTGATTTGTCATGACTGCACTAGCTTAAGTATGCTGGACTGTCAGTGCTACTTTTGCCACTATCCTGTCATATCAGTGCTACTTTTCAATTAATCCTCAGGACCATTTTCTGTGGCTAGCTGCCATGGCATGTTTTACCTATGTATGACAAGACAACACAACACACACACACAGACACAATATTGTCAAATTACACCAAACATTCCACTACCCATCATCTTCCTCCTCCACATCATCTGCACTAGCATCTGTTTCCCCCCCACTGTCAGCATGAGCATCATCATCATCAGAGACAACGTCAGCATCATCAGAAGCGTGGTAGCGCTTATCTGCAAGTGCCCCCCGGAACACCGCGCCACTCCTCCTCGATACATCCACCTTTGCTGCCTTGCGCTTGGTGGGTCGCCTCTTCTTGGTGTTGCGCCACCGTGCCACAACTTCACTCCACTCCATGTCATACTCCAATAGACTCAGCGTCATGAGGTCGCCCAGCTTCGCGTCGCACAAGCTGGTCCGCTGCCAGCTCTTGATGACATTCTGGTGCGAGAATCCGCGCTCGCACTCCACCGTGCTGAGCGGCAACACTGCCAGAGCCGCCCACAGCCGCACCAGGTTCGGATAAGTCCGCTGCCAGTCCGCGGTAGACAGGATTGCCCGCAACCCCGCGTGGAAGGGTTGCTCCTCCTTCGGCGCCCCGGACAGCACTGACAGAAACGTGCGCATCTCCTTCCGCACTTCGCACTTGTTCACACCTGTATGATGTGATGATAAGAGAACATACAAGCGCAGCATCAACAATCGCGCTTATAAGGGGTACAAGAGACACAGCGATGTTACTGGGCGAACAGATCAGTTAACTCACCAGGCACTATATCATCTCTGTCACGAGCATGGAACATCACCGCCAGCTTCTCCATGTGTTCTTTGCACTCCACGTCTCTCGCCTCTTTCCCGCGCGGCCAGGTTCTTGGCATGAAGAGCTTTGCGGCGTTGAGATTTGTCAGGTCGCCAAGCCGAAAGTCGAGGTTGTAAAGCAGCTCCGTCGCAAACGAGCGACACGTTCGAATGCAGGACTGGATGTCACCAGTGCTCTCCGAGTAGCCGGGAATAGGCTCCTCGTGCAGGGTGAACTCATGATCCCTTGCCTCCCCGTCAGCGTCCACTCCCTGCACAATCACCTTCCTGCTGCATGGTGCACTGTGGCGAGCAAGGAACAGCGACAGTAGAGTGCTCGACCCAGCACCGAAATGTTGCCCACAATCGATGTAGCGCTCTCTGATGAAAACTTCTGTACACCTCAGCTGGGAGTGGACCCCCGTCAAGTCAACATGTGGTCGGGTTTAGGATCAGGGAGGGCACAGGAGTGAAACACATCCGTGAGCATCAAACCACGTGAGGTGAGTACTACTAAAAATCACACAACGGTACCTCGCGCCTCTGGAAGAGCAGGTTCAGCGAGTTCAGCTCTACGTGTACATCCGCCAGAAAGTACACAAAGAAGTTGAACTGGCTGGTGACCATGTGGTAACAGGTTGGATCCAGCTGCTCCAGAAGGACAACCACCGCCGGGAGCACCTTCACGAACCGGGCGATCGCGTCTCCGCGGCTTAGCCACCGAACGGTGTGGATTCCTTGCATTTCCAGGTTCGTCCGGGTGAAGACGGCCTGGAGCTCCTTGAATGCAGTGTTCGAGGTGCTGCTGCGGCCGAGATGCTCCGCCAAAGCACGGATGAGGGCGTCAACCATGGCGAGCTCCGGGAGCGCTTCTGCAGAATCTTTTGCGGCAAGTGCCTCTCTGTAAAAAAAAAAGCCACACATACACACGGCGTCAGACAGTCAGTTAGTAAAACAGCGGCAGATGTTGAATGTGGGATGCAGGCACCCACCTGTGGGCGATGCAGTGGCACGAGACCAGATGAGGGATGCAGAGTCGAAGTCGTCCAGTCAGTCCGTTGGTTCCGTCGAGCATGACAGGAGCGTCGTCGGTGCTAATCCCGGCGATCTTGCCAAAGGGGAGGTTGATGCTGTCGAGGAAACCGACGAGCACAGCATACAGGGACCCTGCATCGCATTTGTCAACTGTCAACAGTGTAAGAAACTCTGTGGTAACCTCGTTTTCACGCAAATAAAGTGACGAAGACGATCATATGCTTCCCCCGCACGCGGTCAGTACTCTCATCACAGCTCAAGCCAATGAATGGGCTCGAGTCTATGAACTCCCGCTGCTTCGCACGAAGATAGCTCGCTGTTGCGGACACCAGTTCCGCGAAACCGTACCTGCGAATGCACGGTTAGGGAACATAGTGTTAGTGTAAATTAAAACATGCGGTACGATAAAGAAATGAACAGTATATTACATACGTTGTGTAATACGCGCCGTAGCCGTTCTTCGGGAAGCCCGGAGTCCCACGGGACGCAAGGTGCCGGACGAGTTGCACCCACATCTCTAAAGGTGCGTCAGTCTTGGTGATGAACAACATGGTGTCCAGCAGCGCCTCCACAGCGTCGTGCTCCACGTCTTGGGCTTTCGGGCAGTCCGGGATGCGATGCTGTCCGGCAGCTTTGGCCAAAGCCAGCTCCTGATTGCGGATGGCGTCCTTGTGCTTCATGGTCCTTTGATGACATTGCATGGCTTGAGTCTGCACATCCAGGGCCCCCTCGCCTCTCCTGAAGTTGGTTCCTGTTCCTCCATATTCCATGCATACTGTACATTTCATAGAGGGGAAACCATAACTTGTCTGACAAATAATTAGCCACGAGAAGTCCTCGTTCCACCGACGTTTAAACATGAGCAAAGCTTCCTGATACTTTTCCTCTGCGATGTCGGGAATCTCGGTGTCAAACGAAGCAGTGGTGGCGGTTTCAACAAGCACAGTAGGTTTGGTGGTCGGTTCATGATCTTGCCTGGAGACGGAAAGGACAGCGGTGGTGTCAGATGTACGGACGAACGACAGCTTTGTCTGATGGTACCGGTGCGCGGAGAGTTTTTGGCTCGGTGGTCCTTTGCGGGTCGTCCCAGCCGCCTTAGAGCACTCCCCTTGCGTGCGAATCGGCGGTGGCAAGGGGCCGTTGTCAACCACGACCGGTGCAGCTGTCACAGGAGAAGGCACGGGTGGCTGGGACGGCGACGGGAGGGAATCAGCTGCGGCAGCGGCAGCGGAATCAGCTGGTGTTGGTTGAGGCGGTGGTGGAGGCTGAACAGGCCTACTACGCAAGAAATCCAGGCCCGTCAACCCTACGGTCGGGCCGGGTGGGCTAGGTATGGCGGGGCCTTCACCATCGCCCGTCGGCGATGGGTCAGCCATGGACGGTAATTTGCATCATATCACGCAGACATACGGCGTCGAGCAGCTAGGAAAGTTACGGGGAAAAACAAGGAATCTTGGAGTTCTGGCTGGGGTTTGGTTGAGAGTCAACAACAAGCTGGAGGGGATGGAGGAAGAGACAGAACAGAACATCACAACACCCTGGTTCCCGATCCTTCCCAACCCCAGACACATGGCGCGTCGACCATAGGAGTCGCGGCGTATGCGCTGGCAGAAGCATCTTGCAAAGTTGGCTAAGGGACAAGTTTCATGGCTAGGTGGGAAGCACGTGTCAACAACATCTTGCAAAGTTGGCCGTGTTTTTCCTGCGTGTTAAGTCAGCGGCGCACTGTGATTGGTAGATGTTACAGCATTACTGTGGTTCCAGGGTGGGCGCGGTGTGGTGTTGCGCCACCCAGGCAAAAAAAAACAGTGCGACAATCACGGTGCGTAACTTACGCTGTACCAGGTCGGTGGTTGGGTACACTAAGGGAGGGAAAATGCGGTATTCGCGTCAGGACGACTCTCGATACTATCCTGACTCATCAGGGCTGTACCTAAAGCCTTATCCTGAGGGCCCAGTATGCAAAATCGCCATTATACTGATATCATAGGACAGACATTTGTCTTTTGCTGTTTTTACAGGACAGTCACTAAACACCTATCCTGAATTCAGGAGAATCAGGATAAATTATCCTGATAACATAGGCCCTGCTCCAAGCTGCTAGCAAGCGGTTTGTATTTTACACGAGAGCAAGACTAGTCATCTCGGGCGTTTTTCAGGAAAATTACGAATGTGCATTCAGTGTACACTTCGATAAAAGGCTGAAAACTCAGTGTTAAGTATGAAATGAAGGCTGAAAAATCAGTCTCACAAAAACATACACACTGAAAAATCAGTGTAGGTACACAAAAATAGGCTGAAAATCAGGAATTTCAGGGAAAAATTCCTGATAGGGCCACACGGCACACTAGGTGGCAACGAGAATACGGCAAACTCGGAATGCAAGAATGTACTTTTCTTTGATACACCCTCTAGGCTTCGTAGGGGGCAGTGCCAAGAAGAGGAGAAACAGCTAGTAAAACCAAGCACACCAGATAGAATAGGTGGCGAGGATACTAATGTGGAGGTGCAACTGCACTACTCCCCATCTCACATTCTGCCAACTCCGTCAGTGTGTCAAAGTGACTCAACCCTATCAAGTACTACTAGGTTGGTCTGTTGTCTTCATCCCTGCCCTTGCCGCCCATTCCTCCCGTCCCGTGCGACTTGCGAATCATCAGCTTCAAGCCCCTCACCCCTCCATCACCACCAGTAGCACCAGGAACACTGCCAGAACCACCCACACTAGCACCGCCAACTCCAGCACAACCAGCACTACCATCACCACCTACACCACCACCAGTCCCAGCAGCACTTTGAGAAGCACCGACCGCAGCTGCTTCTAGCTGCTGCCTGCCGTGTGTCTCCTGCCTGCCAGCCGTGGCAGAGGCATCCGACGCCCTCCTGTTGGGCCCACCCTTGCCTGCCGCTCCCTCCCCATCTCCATCCCCACTGCCCTCCCTCTTCCCCTCCACATCGCCCACGCTATCCCCCTTCCCACACCCCTTTCCATCATCTTTCCCTTCCTCACCTTCCCCAACACTCCTCCCTCCTTCGCCCCTCCCCCTCCCACTATTGCTACCTGCATTCCCCCCCCTGCCCGCCCCCCCTATAAGAACATCCAAGCCCGCCAAACCCCCGATACTGCCACCCCCATGTGTTTGCTTCTCTTCCTGAGAAGGCTTTGGAGGCGCTTCAAGACCCAGACCCTCCGTACTAGCACCACTCCCATGCGCCTGGTTTACTTCTCGTTCTTCCTTCCTTCTCTCCTTTCTTTCCCCTTCCTCCCACCCCACTTTTTCCGCCCCGTGCTTCTCCCCGGCTTGCTCCTTCCCCTCACCATCCACCTCCTTTCCCGTGCCTCCCTTGTTATCCTTACACTCTTCCTCCTCTGCTTTCCTATGCACCTCCCTTTGCCTTTTCCTTTGCCCCTCACTTTTTTGTGCTTCACCCTCCTTGGTCAACCCATCCAAACCCTCACCCCTCCCCTCATCACCTTCCTCTTGCAAGCGTCCGTCACTCCTCTCCTCAACCTCCTCGTGCAACACACCACTCACACCAATACTTCTTCTCCTCGCCTCCTCCACCTCCTTTCCTTCCCTCCTCTGTCTTCCCTTGGCCCCCTCCCTCCCCTCCTCCTCCTTTCCTCCCTTCCTCCTCCTCTTGCTGCGAGTCACCTCTTCATGGAAATCATCGCCCACTCCTGCTTCCCCTCCTTTCCTCTCTCCCAACTCCTTAGTCGTCTCTGCTGAATCTCCTTCCTTCATACTTCTCTCAACGTTCCTTTTATCCCCCCTTGCCGAACCATCCTTCTCCCCCTCTTCGCCCCGTTCTTTTGCTTCCTCATGCTCTCCCTTCCTCTTCCTCCTCTCCCTCCCCTCGCCCCCCCGTTCCCCCTCATGTCGCCCCTCGTGCTCCTCCACTCGCTCTCCTTCCCCTCTCCTCCTGTTCAGCCTTATCCTCACTCGAATCCCCTCCTCCCCTCTTCCCTCACCCCCTTCCTCCCCTCCCCCCACCTTTTCCTCCTCTCCCTTGCCACTCTTCATTCTCCTCCTCTTCCTCTCCCCTCCCCTCTCCCCTTCCTCCACCTCCTCCTCCCCTACCACCTTCCTCCTCTTCCTCTTCCCTAAGCCCTCTTCTCCTCCCCCTTTCTCCTTTCCAACAGACCCTGCAACATAACCCACCCCCACCCTCCTTCCCTTCCTACCAACACCATCTCCACTACCCAATCCTCCTCCCCGTTCCCCCCCATTCTCCTCTCCCTCACTCTCCGAAAACGGAGGAGGAGCCTTTTCCCTGCCCTCATCCTCCTCCTCATCAACTCCCTCTTGCCCATCTCCTCTCCCCTCCCGGTCCACATCCCCTTCCTGCTGCTCCTCCTTCGCATGGAGCGACGCCATGCCCCTCTTTCTCTGCCCCCTCTTTCGACACCAAGTGCTTCCCTCCGCCTCCTCTGCTGCCCCCTCCCCGCCTGCCTTTGCTCCTCCCTTGCTTTGCTCCACGCGGCGTTTGAATCGAGACCACAGCTCTTGAGTGGCCTCTGCTGCTGTTGCGACCTGCGGTGAGGGAAAGAGAAAGACACTACAAATGTCACAAGACAACTAAGAGGCCGCACTCTTTCCACCTTGTACCAATACCAGAGCTCCTGAGTGGATTATTGAGGCGCCGAAATAATCGCCTCAGTGGTTCCTGCTTCGTTGCGACATGTGATGAGGGACAAAGAACGACACACAACACCACAAGTTGACCTTTCAAGGCAAAACTTGATAGAGCAAAGGAAGAGAAATACAAGGGCATAGCAATGCAAGTGACAATGGCACACGCAAGTGAGAGGGCAACGGAACTCACACTAGGAGCGTGGCCCAGGCAGGCAGGGCATGTGTAGGAGAGATCTGAGTTCGTCTGATACTGCATGTACTGCTCATCGCTGCTTGAAGGGCACACCAAAGAATCGAGAGAATGCATTGCAAAGGAACAATAAAGGTATGAAAACAAAAGTGGGAAACAGGTGTGAAAAAAGTGTGGAAAAAGGTGTGCCGATTCTGCGTTAATTGGAGACCAATGTGTTCCAACTTTGTTTCCAGAGAAGTAGTCTTAAACATGTCAAGTTCGATTCAATGTATACTTTAATCCTTGTTACAAATAGACAAATGAGATGGAAAAGTAAATAAATTGTGGAAAGTGAGGAATAGATTGGGATGGTCAAAAAGTGTTGTCGCAGAAAGGAGTGAGAGCGAAATGGGAAAAGGGGGGAAAAGGAAGGGAGGGAGAGGGGGTGTGATTGCAATATAATACTGTCACACGCACAAAGGCATGCGTTCAGGTAGTGAAATGGCACCCTTTACCCACCTGATATTGTCACATGCGCAATGCACCCAGTGCTCGCATTTGTCACAACACACCATTGGCATTGGCTCTGAGTCCCGATAAACCTGTGGTGAGGGGGGTGGGATGCGGATGCATATGTGGTGTCAACACATCAGACTCTCATGCATACACACATGCATACACACATGCATACACACATGCGTGCACACATGCATACACACATGCATGCACACATGCATGCACACATGCATGCACACATGCATGCACACATGCATGCACACATGCACACATGCATGCACACATGCATGCACACATGCATGCACACATGCATGCACACATGCATGCACACATGCATACACACATGCATACACACATGCATACACACATGCATACACACATGCATACACACATGCATACACACATGCATACACACATGCATACACACATGCATACACACATGCATACACACATGCATACACACATGCATACACACATGCATACACACATGCATACACACATGCATACACACATGCATACACACATGAATATACAAAACACATGATACACACATGCATACAACCATGCATACACCCATGCATACCCACATGCACATGCATGAGACACGTGAGAGCGTGGAGACACGTGATGACCATCAAATGCACACCGAGGCATTTGTTTCAGCCAGTCACTGTCAGTCACGCCCCAGCTGCCCCACTCAACCTACCCTCAAGCACACGGCGATGATGCTTCCTCACGGCCAGCATACCCCACCAGAACTTACCTCCCCCAGCAGCACCTACCCCCCAGTAGCGCCCACCCCAGCGGCACCCACCCCAGCAGGAGTTACGTTCCACAGGTGCACCTACCCCAGCACAGCAGTGTTACCTCCCCCCGGTGCACGTACCCTGAGGCAGACGGGGCAGTGCTTCTTCTTGACGAAGAGGCGCCCACAGGCGTCACACAGCATGTAGTTGAAGAACCAGCTGCGCCCCCGGGGGGGGAGAGGAGGTGCGAGGAGGGCAAGAGAGGGAAGGGGAGCGGAAGGGGGGAAAGGGGAGCAAGGCCTTACACAGCATGTAGTTGAAAAAACAGCTGCAGGGGTGCGGAAGGGGAAGCGGGTGGGGGGATGGGGAGACGAGGAGGGGAGAGGAGGAGGGGAGCGCGAGAAGCGTGAGAGAGCATGTAGTTGAGGAACCGGCTGGGGGGTGGGGCGAGAGGTAAGCCTGGGGGGGCAAGGCAAGAGTAGGAGGAAGGGGGGAGACAAGCGGCACAAAGCATGTGGTTGAACAACAAGCGGCACAAAGCATGTGGTTGAACAACAAGCGGCACAAAGCATGTGGTTGAACAACAAGCGGCACAAAGCATGTGGTTGAACAACAAGCGGCACAAAGCATGTGGTTGAACAACAAGCGGCACAAAGCATGTGGTTGAACAACAAGCGGCACAAAGCATGTGGTTGAACAACAAGCGGCACAAAGCATGTGGTTGAACAACAAGCGGCACAAAGCATGTGGTTGAACAACAAGCGGCACAAAGCATGTGGTTGAACAACAAGCGGCACAAAGCATGTGGTTGAACAACAAGCGGCACAAAGCATGTGGTTGAACAACAAGCGGCACAAAGCATGTGGTTGAACAACAAGCGGCACAAAGCATGTGGTTGAACAACAAGCGGCACAAAGCATGTGGTTGAACAACAAGCGGCACAAAGCATGTGGTTGAACAACAAGCGGCACAAAGCATGTGGTTGAACAACAAGCGGCACAAAGCATGTGGTTGAACAACAAGCGGCACAAAGCATGTGGTTGAACAACAAGCGGCACAAAGCATGTGGTTGAACAACAAGCGGCACAAAGCATGTGGTTGAACAACAAGCGGCACAAAGCATGTGGTTGAACAACAAGCGGCACAAAGCATGTGGTTGAACAACAAGCGGCACAAAGCATGTGGTTGAACAACAAGCGGCACAAAGCATGTGGTTGAACAACAAGCGGCACAAAGCATGTGGTTGAACAACAAGCGGCACAAAGCATGTGGTTGAACAACAAGCGGCACAAAGCATGTGGTTGAACAACAAGCGGCACAAAGCATGTGGTTGAACAACAAGCGGCACAAAGCATGTGGTTGAACAACAAGCGGCACAAAGCATGTGGTTGAACAACAAGCGGCACAAAGCATGTGGTTGAACAACAAGCGGCACAAAGCATGTGGTTGAACAACAAGCGGCACAAAGCATGTGGTTGAACAACAAGCGGCACAAAGCATGTGGTTGAACAACAAGCGGCACAAAGCATGTGGTTGAACAACAAGCGGCACAAAGCATGTGGTTGAACAACAAGCGGCACAAAGCATGTGGTTGAACAACAAGCGGCACAAAGCATGTGGTTGAACAACAAGCGGCACAAAGCATGTGGTTGAACAACAAGCGGCACAAAGCATGTGGTTGAACAACAAGCGGCACAAAGCATGTGGTTGAACAACAAGCGGCACAAAGCATGTGGTTGAACAACAAGCGGCACAAAGCATGTGGTTGAACAACAAGCGGCACAAAGCATGTGGTTGAACAACAAGCGGCACAAAGCATGTGGTTGAACAACAAGCGGCACAAAGCATGTGGTTGAACAACAAGCGGCACAAAGCATGTGGTTGAACAACAAGCGGCACAAAGCATGTGGTTGAACAACAAGCGGCACAAAGCATGTGGTTGAACAACAAGCGGCACAAAGCATGTGGTTGAACAACAAGCGGCACAAAGCATGTGGTTGAACAACAAGCGGCACAAAGCATGTGGTTGAACAACAAGCGGCACAAAGCATGTGGTTGAACAACAAGCGGCACAAAGCATGTGGTTGAACAACAAGCGGCACAAAGCATGTGGTTGAACAACAAGCGGCACAAAGCATGTGGTTGAACAACAAGCGGCACAAAGCATGTGGTTGAACAACAAGCGGCACAAAGCATGTGGTTGAACAACAAGCGGCACAAAGCATGTGGTTGAACAACAAGCGGCACAAAGCATGTGGTTGAACAACAAGCGGCACAAAGCATGTGGTTGAACAACAAGCGGCACAAAGCATGTGGTTGAACAACAAGCGGCACAAAGCATGTGGTTGAACAACAAGCGGCACAAAGCATGTGGTTGAACAACAAGCGGCACAAAGCATGTGGTTGAACAACAAGCGGCACAAAGCATGTGGTTGAACAACAAGCGGCACAAAGCATGTGGTTGAACAACAAGCGGCACAAAGCATGTGGTTGAACAACAAGCGGCACAAAGCATGTGGTTGAACAACAAGCGGCACAAAGCATGTGGTTGAACAACAAGCGGCACAAAGCATGTGGTTGAACAACAAGCGGCACAAAGCATGTGGTTGAACAACAAGCGGCACAAAGCATGTGGTTGAACAACAAGCGGCACAAAGCATGTGGTTGAACAACAAGCGGCACAAAGCATGTGGTTGAACAACAAGCGGCACAAAGCATGTGGTTGAACAACAAGCGGCACAAAGCATGTGGTTGAACAACAAGCGGCACAAAGCATGTGGTTGAACAACAAGCGGCACAAAGCATGTGGTTGAACAACAAGCGGCACAAAGCATGTGGTTGAACAACAAGCGGCACAAAGCATGTGGTTGAACAACAAGCGGCACAAAGCATGTGGTTGAACAACAAGCGGCACAAAGCATGTGGTTGAACAACAAGCGGCACAAAGCATGTGGTTGAACAACAAGCGGCACAAAGCATGTGGTTGAACAACAAGCGGCACAAAGCATGTGGTTGAACAACAAGCGGCACAAAGCATGTGGTTGAACAACAAGCGGCACAAAGCATGTGGTTGAACAACAAGCGGCACAAAGCATGTGGTTGAACAACAAGCGGCACAAAGCATGTGGTTGAACAACAAGCGGCACAAAGCATGTGGTTGAACAACAAGCGGCACAAAGCATGTGGTTGAACAACAAGCGGCACAAAGCATGTGGTTGAACAACAAGCGGCACAAAGCATGTGGTTGAACAACAAGCGGCACAAAGCATGTGGTTGAACAACAAGCGGCACAAAGCATGTGGTTGAACAACAAGCGGCACAAAGCATGTGGTTGAACAACAAGCGGCACAAAGCATGTGGTTGAACAACAAGCGGCACAAAGCATGTGGTTGAACAACAAGCGGCACAAAGCATGTGGTTGAACAACAAGCGGCACAAAGCATGTGGTTGAACAACAAGCGGCACAAAGCATGTGGTTGAACAACAAGCGGCACAAAGCATGTGGTTGAACAACAAGCGGCACAAAGCATGTGGTTGAACAACAAGCGGCACAAAGCATGTGGTTGAACAACAAGCGGCACAAAGCATGTGGTTGAACAACAAGCGGCACAAAGCATGTGGTTGAACAACAAGCGGCACAAAGCATGTGGTTGAACAACAAGCGGCACAAAGCATGTGGTTGAACAACAAGCGGCACAAAGCATGTGGTTGAACAACAAGCGGCACAAAGCATGTGGTTGAACAACAAGCGGCACAAAGCATGTGGTTGAACAACAAGCGGCACAAAGCATGTGGTTGAACAACAAGCGGCACAAAGCATGTGGTTGAACAACAAGCGGCACAAAGCATGTGGTTGAACAACAAGCGGCACAAAGCATGTGGTTGAACAACAAGCGGCACAAAGCATGTGGTTGAACAACAAGCGGCACAAAGCATGTGGTTGAACAACAAGCGGCACAAAGCATGTGGTTGAACAACAAGCGGCACAAAGCATGTGGTTGAACAACAAGCGGCACAAAGCATGTGGTTGAACAACAAGCGGCACAAAGCATGTGGTTGAACAACAAGCGGCACAAAGCATGTGGTTGAACAACAAGCGGCACAAAGCATGTGGTTGAACAACAAGCGGCACAAAGCATGTGGTTGAACAACAAGCGGCACAAAGCATGTGGTTGAACAACAAGCGGCACAAAGCATGTGGTTGAACAACAAGCGGCACAAAGCATGTGGTTGAACAACAAGCGGCACAAAGCATGTGGTTGAACAACAAGCGGCACAAAGCATGTGGTTGAACAACAAGCGGCACAAAGCATGTGGTTGAACAACAAGCGGCACAAAGCATGTGGTTGAACAACAAGCGGCACAAAGCATGTGGTTGAACAACAAGCGGCACAAAGCATGTGGTTGAACAACAAGCGGCACAAAGCATGTGGTTGAACAACAAGCGGCACAAAGCATGTGGTTGAACAACAAGCGGCACAAAGCATGTGGTTGAACAACAAGCGGCACAAAGCATGTGGTTGAACAACAAGCGGCACAAAGCATGTGGTTGAACAACAAGCGGCACAAAGCATGTGGTTGAACAACAAGCGGCACAAAGCATGTGGTTGAACAACAAGCGGCACAAAGCATGTGGTTGAACAACAAGCGGCACAAAGCATGTGGTTGAACAACAAGCGGCACAAAGCATGTGGTTGAACAACAAGCGGCACAAAGCATGTGGTTGAACAACAAGCGGCACAAAGCATGTGGTTGAACAACAAGCGGCACAAAGCATGTGGTTGAACAACAAGCGGCACAAAGCATGTGGTTGAACAACAAGCGGCACAAAGCATGTGGTTGAACAACAAGCGGCACAAAGCATGTGGTTGAACAACAAGCGGCACAAAGCATGTGGTTGAACAACAAGCGGCACAAAGCATGTGGTTGAACAACAAGCGGCACAAAGCATGTGGTTGAACAACAAGCGGCACAAAGCATGTGGTTGAACAACAAGCGGCACAAAGCATGTGGTTGAACAACAAGCGGCACAAAGCATGTGGTTGAACAACAAGCGGCACAAAGCATGTGGTTGAACAACAAGCGGCACAAAGCATGTGGTTGAACAACAAGCGGCACAAAGCATGTGGTTGAACAACAAGCGGCACAAAGCATGTGGTTGAACAACAAGCGGCACAAAGCATGTGGTTGAACAACAAGCGGC